TACCAAATGCACATTCAGCAGTGTGTGTGCGCGTGAACACCCCGTCGGAGGGAAGAACAAAGAGGTTGGAATTGCCATCCGAGGGTTTCATCTTTCCTTTGAAAGCTCTGATTGGCTCCAAGTCACCCAAAGCAGATCGTCTTGAGGACCAGGTGATTCCTCCGACTCCCAGCGTCGTGCCTCTTCATATTCCCAGGCCTTGTGTTGACCCCCAAAGGTGAAGTAATTCCAGATGGTTTTCATTGGGGCGGTCACCGGATTGTACGTAACTACAAAGGTTCAAAACGTCCGGAAGGGATTGACTCAGAACTGTGGTAAAAAAGGATCAAATGAGCGCAAGAAGATCATTGAGGAGGAAGATGCCAAGGCACTTGCAGAGGCTCAGGGGGGCAAGTCAGCGCCATCAGGCCTGAAGAGCAAGAAGAAGAAATCTTCTCCAGCTCAGCTTGAGGCAACTCAATGCTCTCCTGCCAAAGCCAAGCTTGTAGGTGACAAGTGGGAAATCATTCCAGCCGCATCTCAAAAGTTTTCCGTGCCAGCAATGCCAAAAAAGTAGCGGCGCCTCCCGTGGAAGAACATCGGCCAAAACTTCAAGGAACTTGAGTTCAAAGTTGCGCTCGAGCTCTTCGCTTCCGTTGCTAGGCTTGTATCAAAAGATGGAATGGCCCGCAAACCCAAGGCAAAAGCCGCTCTTGACAAAGAATGGGAAAACCTTCGTACCAATGGGATGAGAAGCGCGTCCGTGAATGCTGCGACATAGTAGCTGAGGCTCGTCGTGATGGCAAGACTGTTCACTTAGGACGGAATCTTTGAAGCATGTTACGAAAAGGGGTCTGAACTCCCAGAGTCAGATCCCCGCCGTAAGTTCAAAGGCAGGAGAGTGTTTCAAGGTAAGAACGTGCGAGATGAGAACTCGGACCATGCACTCTTCAATGAGTTGGGCTCCTCTCCAGCTTCAATGGAAGCAGCCAAGCTGCTAGATGCTTTTGGTAGCCAGCCGGGTTTCTCGAAACAGCAAGCTGACGCAATCCAAGCCTACATACAAGCCCTCTTCACAGGGGTGCCCAAATGGTTATCATTGCCTCGAAACAGGTGGCCAAAAGATTGGGAAAGGAAATGCTGGCAGCCAATGGTACCAATGCTGCTGGCCCTATATGGTCATCCTGATAGTGGGGGTATTTGGGAGATTTTGGGAGCAACATCTCAATGGCCGTGTGGTGAAACAGGGTTGGAAACAAATTTTACCTGACATTTGGCATTCAATTTTTCATCATCAAGAGCTCAACTGTCTGTTAGTTGTGTATGTAGATGACTTCAAAATGGCAAGGCCTTCAGCAAATATGGAAAAGGCATGGGCAAGCATCAAAGCTGCAGTGAACATTGGCGATCCAGAGCCATATGATCGATAGTACACACCGGGAGTTTGAAAACATCCGGTTGCCCTCATCGGCACACCCATTTGCATTCGCCTTCGGTGCCAAGAAGTCAGAAGCAGCACAGAATCGAACTCAGGACTGGTGGGAGCACGATGAAAACAATCAAGCATGGATCAGACATCATGTTCAACCCCGAAAACGATTGTACCAGCCGGGTGATGAGGGGGGAGAGTATACTTGTCAAAATTCAAGTCGCATTACTTTCTTTGACAAAAAGGTAACACTAAAAAGTTGTCCTAGCATCACAGACAGGAACAATCAGGGGGGCTATGATGTTTATACTGATGATTGGAAAACATCTAGCAATCAAGCAAATGAATTTTGGACTGGAAAAACAGTTTTCTGTTATGGACAGGACGGACCAGACAAGTTCAAGCAGTTTGCAATGGCAAGCAAAGCCAGACCAGGACCCCATCGCGACAAACGTGAAGCAAAGAAGGAAGCGAAAGCCTCTAAGTTCAGGGGGGTAGACCAAGCCGTGAAGTCAAAAGCTGGCGTCATGGCCACGCCCGTGAATCTTGTGAGGTATGACATGAGCAACTCTCTGCAGTCCTGTGTAGAAAATGCTTGCAATCTTGCAAAGGTCAATCCGTCGTCCTTGAATCAGGTGCCAACACCATTCACCGATGCCGGCATAGCAAGGCCAACGCTCAGTGAGGATGAAAAGCATGGTAGGCTCCAACCAGTAGCAAGCAAAATCTTGATGAAAATACTGTTCGCAGCGCGAATGGCCAGATTTGATTTGCTCAGAGCCACCCAGAGCTTGGCCTCAAGAGTGACCAAATGGTCCATTGAATGTGATGTCGCATTACGTCCGTTGGTAGCATACATCAATTGTACAAAGCACCACTTTCTCGAGGGTATCATTGGGGATGCATTCGACCAATGCCAGCTATGGCTCTTTGCTGATGCCGACCACGCAGGTGAACATGATAGCAAGAGCACATCCGGTAGCGCAATAGTGTTGGTTGGACCCAATACCTATTACCCTTTAAACGCATTCATTAAGAAACAAACGGTTGTAGCGATTTCTTCAACCAAAGCCGAAGTATTTGCCGCAAACCACAGTATGAGAGCTGAGGGTATTCCTATGCTGGCCCTATTCCAGCAGCTTAACTTGTTTAAGGAGCTTCAGGGTAAACCAGCTCGCGATGCCGCGAAGCCCGATGTTGATACTGTATTCACCAGGATTGACCCCGAAATTGATGACATCCGTAATGGGAATGTTGACATGGGTTGTAGCGTTGCGGACATCAACTCACTCAAGGCTAGTTTCCCTGAATTTTATCAAGTAAAGTTCATGGAGGACAATCAGGCTACTATCGCGGTCATGGCCACCGGTTCATCAGCATCCATGAGACATATGAACAAGACACAAAATATCAACTTCAAATGGTTGAAACAACAGTTTGAATGTAAACAGTTCGATCTTCTCAACGTTGGTACGAATTTCCAAGTTGCAGGCATTCTCACAAAAAGCCTTTACCCGACCAGCCCTTTGGCAACATGCCATTCACCTCATTGGCATTGGCCCGACAAAGGTGGACGAAGCAGCTCGCGACGCCGCGACGCCGAACTCTACTAAGGTGCCAAGACTAGCCATTGCTGCCGGGAATCAGGGGGGCTCGGAAAGAATTTTGAGCCCAGAATGTTGATCGAATTTTGTTGCTCAGAAGACTCAGAAGACCCAAAGCTTAGTACCCAGAGAAAGGCCAGTCAAGATTGCCATTGCGTCAGTGTAATTGAAAAGGATGATGGAACCACTCACGGCTGTCGGCAACGACTAGCTTCCCAAGTCAAAGACTTCAGAAATGACTTTGGTAATGGCACTTTTGATTTTGTATGCATCATTGCCATGCGTGGAAGGAAGTCCATGGGGAAACGTAAACGGCCTCACGGTCGAGGGCCATGAGAGAACCAAAGAGCAACAGAAACAGTTTACCACACTTTTAAAGTCTTTTGTCAAACTTGTGGGTGAAGTTTATGATGAGCGAACCTTGATAGCGTTTGAACTTTCGAAGAATTGTAAATATTGGAGATGGCCGATGGTTAGAAAGTTTCATGTCCGTGCACCATTTTGATGGATGTATGATGGGAGTTCTCGGAAACAACGGTCAGCCCATGAAGAAAAGTTGGACCATTGCTGGAAACTTCAAAGAACTTTTCAAAACTTGATTCCTACTGTTGTGACGGTTTGCATGAGCATGATCAAAGTCGAGGGAAAGCACTGAAACTTGCTGAAAATTATACCTTCAAGTTGACCGACATGCTTCATGAATGCTTCCGGGTAGCTGCGAGGGGCCAAGCATCCAAAAGGAAAGTCTGTAGCGCCAAATTTGCCTGTCCTGTCAAAATGGGTTGACTCGCGACTCGCAGCAAACCCGGCCGGCCGTGAGGCATTGGTGGTCCGTAACCAAGGTGAGGGTACCCTGGCCTGATTTTGTTGAAGGTTTGATGAACGAATGGTGGGCCCCTTGGCAAACAATGTCCTGAAGTTCTGCCTGTTGCCACAAGAACCAGAGCTGGAAAAAGTCGACCCGCCAGGGGCAACCCTGAGCCATGTCATCTGGATTCTCGTCAGTGATTCTTGTTGTGCTCTCCAGCCAATGCAGCGGCGGTATTTAGCTCCGCACAAGCACCTCATCCGATACCGCGCCATTTCTGACGCCAGAGCCTCCAACGCCAAAGAGCGCAGCAAGACTTTTCTTGGAGCCAGAAGTACCACCGACTTCCAAGGCATCCAACTCAGGTCGCCCTGATGCTTCGTGGAGCTGGAACAGGGATCATTACGGTGCTCGCCGTGAATGGAGCTGGTGGCGAGGTGCGTGGTATTATCGGGATGAGGCCGGCGGCCGTTGGATCTATTGGAGCCGGTAGCTAGATATGATGTGTAGCCTTTTGCAGGATGTGGCATGATGAATTGCCTTCCCTTGCGTTGCTACTTGGGTGTTCAGGCTTGAGCTTTTTAGAGGGACTTTTGAATGCGGCATAAAAAATCCAAAAGCCATATAAAAACAAGCCGGCTACCCGGGAGGGTTAGCTCGACTATTGGTTAAACAGTCTCGCCGCTGTCCCTGCTCGCCTGAGGGGGGGTAAAAACCCCTGCAGTAAAACCCTATGTTCCATGTACATCATATCGACTATGAAGCGTTGGTTCAAAAGTGCCGAGAGCTTAACGGCAGGGTTTGGTTCACCCCATTGTATATTACTACAATTGTGGCTGACCTGATAAAATACAATGCAGATCCCATCCCCCAATATCCCCTAACATGCATATAACACCCAGAAACCATTGTTTAGTAGGGGATGATGGGGATGACACCACATATTTAAGGGACCACCTAGGACCATCGGAGGGTTTCATAGAGGGAATGGGATTAGCGAAAAAAATGCGGATAGAGATGGAAAGTATGGACACCAGTGGGAAATTTCCTGAAAAATATGGAAGCAAGGGCAAAGAATGGGAAACATGTGGAAAACTGAGAGAACATTTGGAAAGAATCTGGGGAAACATGTGGAAACCCATGAAATTTGCACCAACATCCATCAACCACTGCACCGCAGGTGGTCACTCACGAAATCTTGCCGCAGCTGGTCTACTCGTTGGCACAGCAGAACCGTGACGTGGCAGCAGTCAGGGGAAACTCCGATGGGCCAGAAATTTGTCAAGGAACTAAACATGCATAGATATGGGCCATATGGGTTTCTGCTACTAATATCTGCGAATTCCATTCCCCCCCAAAAAAACCTGGAAACTTTGCTCGCATCGTTGCAAGGCTTCTACAAGAAAGCGGCAGCCTTTGTTCTGCGGGCAGTCGCCAAACATTCGGCGCCACTTGCGCAGGCTGTTGCTGCACACAACATTCACCGGGGTAATGCAATCAGATCTTGCAGTCGAAACAAGTGCAAGGTGGGTCCAAACCCTGTTACCCTGTAGTTCACATCAAACTAGCTGGTATAGTATTGCCGGGTCTTCATTCCTCAATTTTTTGGGGTCGCAGGTTTTAAGTTATCCTCATTTCAGCACTGGAAAACATCTCATTTCTTCGAAGTGATCTTTGGAATCATGTCCAAATGAGGGATGAATGGGCCCCTCACCAGCACGGCTGCTTGCCCGCACTAACCGAAGAAAGGAAACATGAGGACGCGCTCCAGTGAAGCCAAAGGATGGGGCCAGGTATGAATTCGATGAGTGGGACATGTGGGACATTTACAGGAAATTCCTACATGTCAGGGTGGTTATGTCCGTCGAAACAGATTCATTTTTTTTGTATTCTTTTCGCAGGCTGTGGTGGATTCCGGTGCAATGGAGTCGTTGGTGCTTTGCTTGGAGGAGCCGTCAGCCATGAGTTGGGTGGTCAATCCCATATTTTCAGACACGCCCTTATAATCCCTATATATATATATTTATAATTAATATATAAATACACACACACACATAGCTAGCTTTTTCGTGCTGAAAGTTGCCCGGCAACATCATTATTTGTGCAATTCAAATTTCCATGTGGAACTTTGGAGTGTAGCTAGGTTTACCGAAACGGTTTACCTACAAAAATCCCCACAAAACAGGCCAACCTGCAACCTGCACATTACAGCCCATCCCAGCCATGCCACATCCAGGAGTTCGACCCTGCAGTGAAAGAGTCGGCCGCATGGGCGCTGGGATATATTGTGCCTTGAATGTCATCATCATCAACTGAGTGTAACTGCACTACATCCAACTACCTGCACCAACTGCACCAACTGCACCAACTGCACTAACTGCACCAACTGCACAGCATAGGAAGTGTCCGTTTTCGGTTCCGAGTTTTCCAAGGCAAAACACACCAAGGACCTGGCCCAGAGCGTGGCTCAAGCTGCAGTAGCGGATTGCATCTCCATTTTTTTCCGGGTTGAACGCCAAATTTTCGGGCGACATGATATGATTAAAAGATGACAGTTGCCGCACTCACCATGGTTCTGCATTCATTGAAAACGGTGGACTCTTCTGGGTGACCCAAAAATGGAGAAGTTGAACAGTTCGCCATGGAAAAGTGCCATGAGACAGATGATTTACCTAGGGTAGCTGTGAGTTCTCACGTCTTCTGGGAGCCCGAGTCATTGATGATGAACCCTTCCCTGTGAAACATGTGTAAATTCCAATCTATTGTCATCCCAGAAGGTAGTCAATCGGTGTAAATCAAATTTGTCCCCACAAATTTGCTGATGATATTCACTTTTCATCACTACTTTTCCATTTTTTTTTCTTCTTTTTTTCCCTCCTCTCGGGGTCATTATAATCAATATCTGGTGGATCTGGTGAAAATCTCTGCCCTGCGCTCCTGCTCCAGGTCGTAAACGCTGGCGCAGTGCCTTTGTTGGTCTTGGCGTTTCAGGAGCTGCACCATGCTACACCAGTGGCTGGGAGATTGGCTGGACATTTTTCAAGCGGGAAAATGTGAGGACTTTGCGATGGCGATGTCCCAGGATATCATAGCCCGAGATCCTGAGACTCCGAGATCATGGTTCTGTCAGAATATGTGAACCTGTAATTTTTTGATGCTCCAAGTGAAGAAATTTCCCACCTGACCTTCCTTCTACAAGAATGGTAGAAGGATGGTTCCGAGACAGTTGCGTTCGCATGTCATCTGTTTCTATTTTATCTTAGTATTGGTGTTCAACATTTAATCTTACTGTTTGCGATGTGGTGTATTTTAGTGCCGTTCATGCGGGCCATCGCACCGATTGCTACGTCTTCATCGGCCTGTTCTTTGCACTTTTGTCAGGTGCTCAGAGGGAAACAGGGTAACTACTCAAGCGGTACTTACATATAAAGCAGGAGCAACCATTCCAGTCCAGATCTTCACACTGAAAGTGCCATTCCCATGGAATTGCATGTTGCAACAATTGCAGTCTCAAGTCAAGACACTGCAATTTGACACCGAATACAGCCAGCGATGTGTTGGCAATGAGTGAAGTGCGGCGCAAGAAACAAGGCAACACTGACCAACACTCATTTGCAGGATAAATTGACAACTCGCTTCATGGAAGAACTCCAGCTGCAAAGAGCTACCATTAGAACTTGGGATGCAATAGGAAATTCACATTCGACGCAATGGGCAATTTCTTCACCAGCCTCTTCAACAACTCCGATGATGGCCACGGCCGGGATCACCTCTTCCGCCAACCTAGGGGCGTGTCGGAACAGAGGCCCCCCGCAAGGCAAAATGAACGAGCTGATGATCACCCGGCTGAAGCTTTTGCGCCCAGACCTTCACATTGGAATGCGTCCAGACCCTCACCTGCTGCGGTCAAACAAAGGGAGATTAATATGAGCAACCCCAGACACTGCCAGACGCAGTCAGTGCCGCAAGTTTCAACAAAGACACCCAGTTCCAGTCATCTCGGTCCTACTTTCCGGGATCGGGATGCAGGATACAGCGCAGCAAGGGCTTGGTTTCATGACACACGGTCTAACCATCGGAGAGGCAAAACAATACACGGTTGAGAATTGTCAACGGCAGAGGCGAGAGCAGCCACATGGTTGCAGCCGGACGGCGGACTTTGGTCAGCATCCGTTGACGGATGCCTTTGACTGAGAATCACATAGAATCTCGTTGAGCTGAGCGGCTCTTCAACTTGACCTGCAGGTCGCTGTAGGATGTGATGTGTATTTTGCATCATTTTGCATCTAGAGATCCCCAAAACATTACCAGATGTTGCAAATTCACACAAACCATGGTGCCAAATGTTGCAGAATCATGCAAGACTATGCAAGATCTGTTGTTGGGGTGAAATGACATCTTCAGATGTTCCTTCACTTTTAATCAGGTTCAAATTTTGCAAGATCCGGCAAAATCCTTGCCATGTCTTGCACTTTTTTTAGTGCTGAAGCATCTATCAGAGGGATTCAGTCACAAGACGCACGTGTAGATCGACAGACCTGCTTTGAGATTCCGTCAACGTCGCACAAAATGGTGTGGCTGTCTTGGATCGATCCTTCGAGAACTTCAGATGGAGTGTTGCCACCTCTCCCCGCCGTCCTTTTACTTTTTCACCCCGACAGCCCTTGACACTCTCGTCACCAAAAGCCGAGGTTAAGAAGATATGATGGCGTTTGAGTTTGTGAAGGTCAATCCCAGCGACGGTCGCTACCACTGCGCTATTATCAATGATCAATGTGGCCAAACAGTCTTCACTGAGTATGTTTTCTTTTGGTGAGCGTTTCAGCCAAAGTCTTGAAATAGATGGCCATTGCAAACAGTTTCAAAACGCAACTTTGAGATGGTGAGCCCAACAGCTTGTCATACACATACGCGTCAGAATAAACAGAAACACCTTTTCCGCAATTTGTTTCCCACTCCTCACATGCACGCATGATATCGTATGATTATACCATCTGGTTATTTCACATAGCCATGGAAAATCACCAGTTTTAATAGGTAAACCATGGGTTTACCGTTTACCATCTATTTCTATGGGCCATCTATACCATGGCTATGTTAGTCATAACCAGAGGGTAATACATATACCGATAGCCTTTACCCTTCGGGTGTTCTGACCTGTCATGTAGTGGTTGGGAGTGGAAGGTTTTTTCCAATATTTCTGGGGGACCACATGCACATATATAATTATATAACACATATATCATATATATATATATGTACATAGTTATATATATATATGTATTTATTTATACATTTTTTTAAATTGATGTATATATATATATATATTTACAATATAGTTTTATAATATATACACACACATATATATATATATATATAACACATAGATATATATTTATTTGTTTATATATTTATTTAATGAACTTTGGGTTTAAGGGCAAAAGTCAGGAGCGGACGGGGTGTAAAATAAGCACACTGACTCCTTTCCCACTCATGATTTCGGGGAAAAGATTTCAACTTTTGAAGAAACCGTTCATTTTTGTTGGTCATCAAATCCTATGTAAAAAAGGAATGGACATTAATCCATGCCACATCCAGAGAGAAACTTTCACGACCTTGGCACATAGGGAGGCCGCTAAGATTTTCCAAAACCATGCTGGACATCCTGGGTTAAATCTGTTCGCGACAGGTTCACCCGGGTAATATTATCGGGGGTACTAGCACTGACAGTCCTGACACGTCTGCGGCCAGAAAAGCCAGGTACTAGTCCACACCTCAAACTCCTTGCGTTAGACACACAAAGTCCTCCACGGTCAGACAAGTGGTCCTGCGCTTTTAACTCTCTTTCCAAAGTCCTTCACGTTGGATTCACCGGTCTTCCGACCGATCTTTGAGCTTGGAAAAAGGGCTATGGTGAAATGCCCATTGATTGAAATGACAATTGCAAAGTCATGACATGAATGCTAAATAGGGAATATGCAATTCGCACACCCCCTGACTGTGTTTCGCTAGAGGCACAGTCACACGAAAAAAGCAGAATATATCTCACACCATCTACACGACAGTGTTACATTCAAAGCTCAAGCCCTCTCTCAGATGTTCTTTTTCCGCTCTTCTTTTCCAAAATTTTTCACTTTGCATGTCATCGCACCTTTTTTCACTTTTCGCTTTCATTTGGCCTCGCACACCAATTACACGGCTGATACGCAATGGAATATCCATGCATTTTTTCGCAGTGAGTCACATCGGTGTGCTGGGGTCCATTCAATCCAGCTCCATACATGTCTCTCCCTCGAGGATGCCATCCGCGAAGTTGAGGAACACACTGCTCACAGATATCGGTGTGTCGCACCATCTGTGAATTTCTCAACCCATAGCAATCCTTTCGGAAGTGATATTTCTTTCCAAGGCCTGTAAAGTACAGGTCAATCGATGGGTCAGCACTGGAAGATGGATCCGCAGGGATCTGAGCACCAGTGCCAGTGGATGAGGAAGCTGCAACTTTTGGCTCGGCTGCAGCATGGTTGGTTCTGATCTGCGTCATCCCTGTTGAGGTCGTTTCATTTGGCTTCTTTTCATCACCTTTCTTTCCTTTTGACTTTGATTGCAAAACTTTTGGTGGCGGAGCAACTTCTTTCTTTTCTGCTGCCGCCTTGGGAATCGCTGGTTCTTGGATTCCTGCAGAGGCTGTTTGATCTTCTGGTAGCGGAGCTTCCAGTTTTGAAGCTGGTTGGCCATAAGTGTTCTTCTGTCCGTCCTGTTTGGACGCAGAAGACTGGCCCATACTTTTGGCTCTTTTTACAGCCTTTGGTGTTTCTTCCTTTTCTTCTTTTAGTGGTGGGCCACTTCGCCTGGGGAGTTCGTCCCGAGATTGGTCTCCTCCACAAAATCCCAGAACCGTCTCACCCGGCGGGGAGGTTGGACAATCGGAGACCCGACGTCCTGGCACTCCCAGATGGTTGGCCGCTTCGCCTGGGGAGTTCGTCCCGAGATTGGTCTCCTCTACCAAATCCCAGAACCGTCTCACCCGGTTGGGAGGTTGGACCACCAGTCTGTGACGTCAGACCTGATGTCCTGGCACTCCCGAGCAACTGACTGCTTCCCCTGGGGAGTTCGTCCCGAGATTGGTCTCCTCCACCGAATCCCAGAACCGTCTCACCCGGGACGGAGGTTGGACCATCGGTCATCAGACCCGATGTCCTGGCACTCCGTTGAGCGAGTTCGCCGCGGGATCGATCTGATCCCACAGCCGTCTCAGCCCTGAGCAGTCGTCGCTGCCAGCCGCTTTGAATGGCCAACGTGACCAACACCACCACTATTGTATATACCATCATCATGTCAAAGAAGATGGATGATTCCTCTCCTGCATCTCCATCTTCATCTTCGGCCCTCGCTCGGCTGAGCATGGCCATGATCATCGCCATCCTGACCATATCTTTTGGGGACTTTATCCCTCCTTTCGCTTCTTTCGTCTCTATGGCCGGCTCTCTCACCATGCCATTCTCTTCTTTTTCTTCGGTAGGCCCTCTCACCACACCGAGATCTTCCTTTTCTTTTTCTGTTTTGATCTTTCTATCTGTCATGCCCATGGCTTTCTTCAGCTCCTCCAACTTCAATGCCGCCAAAGCTTTGGTGCCCAGGTCGGCGATCATGCCGGTGCCTGGAGTGTGTCGGAGGATGACATCTCCACTCAGCACCCGCCATCTCATGTAGCGAGCCCTCTTTCTCAAGTGGCGCGTCCTCCAGGACGCACTGTCGCCTCCAACTATGGCGATGGCTGAGGCAGAATCAGAGTACTGCCAACATCGCACTGCCTTTTCCAAAATTTCTTCCACCACTACTCGGACTGCCTCTGCCAAAACTCCTCCTTCCAAAATCTCCACCAGCTCCGACTCTGCCGTAGAGGCGGTTTGAAGTTGTTGGCGCGAGCTTCGCCACAAAATTGGAGCTCCCAGCCACATCACCACTGAACATCCGTGGCCTTCATTTCC